TTCTTTTTTAGGGGCCGCTGTGGTCTGCATCGCATTCTACCTCTACTTTGGCGCGCACAACGCGGTGCTGCTCCAGCACGACGAAGAGGCCGAGCGGGGCCGCTCCCCCTCCGAGAGCAGCACGCTCCTCGCAGCACCAGACCCTTCCCCCTTCCCCTCCAGAGGAGGTGCGAGAGTGTGACGATCTGCCGCTTCGGCCGCGACGATGAAACTAAATCTCACACAAACATATATCAAATTCTAGAAAACTGAGAAAAAGGGGGCCAGACGGAGCGACGGCAGCACGCTCCTAGAAGAAGACGCTTCCCGCCCTTCGGCTTCGCCTTCCCCTCCAGAGGAGCCGAGGTGCGACAGGGTAGGCTCCGCCCCACTGTGATTCGGACTGAGCGACGGCAGGACCCTTTGAAATCCTGAATGGCGGCGTCCGGTGAGGTCCCCACGGCCGGGGGTGGTAAGTGGGTGATAGGAGGGCCATAAACGACCATCACACCGGCCACCGGACCCCTCCCCCCCCCCAAACACAGTCCAAACCGGCCCCGGCGGCCGGCGGGACGCACGCCGGCGCAGCATCATCAAGCTGCTGTACGGCCCCGGCATCGCCTCCCCTGGCTTAGCTCTCAGTCAAGATATTGTGCGCATGGGTGACCTCTACAATATACTCACTGACACTGAACCTCCCAGAGCTCGTCCCGGTCCGCGCCACGGCCATCCTCGTCCTCCGCGGCGCCGGCTCCGGCCCCTCCGCCGCACTGTGATGAGCGTCGGCAGGACCCTTTGAAATCATGAATGGCGGCGTCTGGAGAGGCCCCCACGGCCGGGGGCGGTAAGTGGGTGATAGGAGGGTGATAAACGACCATCACACCGGCCACCGGACCCCTCCACCCCCCCAAGCACAGTCCAAACCGGCCCCGGCGGCCGCCGTGCAGGAGGCCGCCGGGGCGCACCAAACGGCCCTTCACGGCCGCCACACGGGCCACCACGGCCCGTCCCGGTGGGACGGGGGCCGCCGCGAACCCGCCCGACGCCCCCGGCCCGCCAGCTTCCGTTCTGGGGGGGTTCACCTCCGCCCGGGGGCCGAGGGGGCCGCCTTTTCGCCGGCGTGGGGCCGCACGCCCGAAAAAGGGCCGAAAGGCGGACCTCCCGGCCCTAAAATCACGACTAGGAAGCGCCGCCCGGCAACAAGGAGTTTGCCCGTCGTGGGCCGGGGGCCGCCGGAATCCCCCGGGCGGTGCTTGGAAAGCCTAATCCTGCCCGGAAACCCCCCTT